ATTCTAGAGAGAAATAAATGGCCTTTTTGGAAAGTGAACCATCGATAAGGAAATGTTGGCAGTTTTTTCAAAAAATGATCGAATTCAAGAAGTTTTAGATTTGCGTGGATTTTTTTTCAGTTGCAAAATCCACTTGAACATAACGCTGCTTTTTTCGAAGTTTCTCAGGAACAATTCGAGCCAGAGAATTCGTCTTGGCATCGTTGGATAGAGAATTGAATGGTTCTGGATCCGCCCTTGTTCGCAAGTGCCGTGAATAAGACGGGATTGAGGCTTTCGCAGTCGTTTTACAACGTCTGGCAACGTTGGTGGGGCTAMCTCGATTGCATCGGCTTTCGGATTGGCTCCGTGAATGCCGATGCAATTTTSCTGCGTTGCCGAGCGCTTCAAAATACCCAATCGCRTYTTATTGGCGACYGGACTCCAACTCCCTGACTGTTGCAGGCTACCGATACTTTAAAACCATCATGTTCCTCACCGGCTTCATATTCGCCTGCAGCCTGGTCTACTTGATCTGTCTGCAGGGCGAGCTGCTGCCCAGCTACGGAAATGCTGGTAAGCATCAGCAGCCTTTTCGCCCCTGCAAGAAACCCCTTCAAAGCGCCCGGGTTTTGCAGCTGTGGCGGCATTGGCGGGTTTGCTGTTCGGACTGATCACCATGCTGGTCCAGTACGTTGGACTGTTTGTCAGTGGCTTGCACACGGGGACTCTATTGGGCCTGGCCGGCCTGCTCACAGCCGATCACATTGCGGAAACGTCCCCAAAGGGCAGCGTCTGGTTGTGTCTGGCTGTGCTACTCGGTTCTGCTCTGTTCTGCGCCATTGTCAACTTGTACTTCCGAAAAGGTACAAAGTGACCTCCTCAAAACTTCAACTGTCAATGTCAAACACACACATGACGTTTCCAGGTCTCACTATTCTGGGCTCTAGCTTATACGGCGGAGCGATTCTGTCAGTGACCATCGACTATTTCCTCGAGAACCTTTCGGTGATGTCCTGGATTTGGCAGCGAATCTCGCTCAAGCCTGTCCAGCCGCCACCCTGTTGGTTCTCTTGGATCGTGTTGGGGTTGTGGCCCGTTTTCGTCCAGAGTGGGGTTCTGGTCCAGGCCTGCTTCACTGGCCGCGGCCAGCACCATGAGGATGGTACCCACGTCTCAATTTGCGCCCATTAAACTCCCCCTGAGGCTGTTTTTTTTTCATTTGCAGTGACGGCTGGCAGGAAAAACCCCCGGATGCCCACCTCCATGCGCTCCATGACCAAAATGGACCGCGCAGAAATGCGCCAGAAAAAGTACCGGTATCTTTACCAAGTGCGCACCGCCCATGGGGACGTCATAAGTCAGGTGGGGGGGGCTAGTTGCACCATTTTTTAAATTATTTTAAATTATTCAACTTATTGCTCGCGTTTTTCAGAACTTCGTGCAACAAATGCAGCGAAAAGACATGATGGATCAAGGGGGCGAGTGCAGCACCCTCCAGTCAGACGCCACTCATCTGACGATGTTGCCAGACAACCAACTCATGGTACTCACTGAGAGCGAGGACGACATTTGTTCGATGGATTTGGCAACAGTGATACGCAAATGAATCAAATCGCCACAGTGTTGCAATACACTCAGATGCAATAAGACAATAAGGGTTGTAAATAGCGATGCGCAATGGAACAGAGTGCTGCCAATGGTCGCTACTTTTGCCCGCACCCCGGTAGCTAAACCGTCCCTTGGCCAGTGGCGGTTGCTGCGAGAGCGAGTGCAAGCAAAGTAGCCGTTTGCCATAAGGACATCGGCCTGTCCTTGTCTAGCCTGCCCGATATACGAGGGCCGCACGCTCAATTCGGAACCACAAGACAGTTGGCAGCACTACAGGGTGTTACAAAAAAAGTATCCACATGGTGTCCCAACCATGGACTTTAAGTAAGTGTAGGCTTAACCGGTTTCATTTGTTTCAGAATTATCGTCGTCTTGTGGGGGGGAATAGGGTGTTTTCACTTGTTTTTTAAATGTTGCTATATAGAAAGTAGTTATGGCAAACATTACACTGATATAATTTTTTTTGCAGAAAAGTCCATAATAATTTTAAAGCGAAATTAAATTCAAATCAGATATTTTCCGCCAAAAACGCCGAATAGGTATCGTTGGTTGCCTATCCCGATTGTGACGTAGCAGGTCATATCAACAACGTGTCTCGTGTTTATTTTGTTGTTTTTTCAACTTTGTTTTATTATTTAAGTGGTTGTGATTATTATTATCTTGCATAATGAAAAATAGTGACATGTATGGATCACAAAATAAGTAGTGTTTTGTGCCAGGATGCCTCAATAAGTGCACCAAACAAAC